ATCATCTGGAAATGACAGGTTGTTAGTCAACCTTTCTTCAATCCTGATGTCATGTTATTCTTTCTATAGCCCAGATTGCTGGATTATTTTCTCTGTTTACATACTGAATAAGTACGAAAAAAAAAAAAAAAAAAGGGAAACAACCAATATGCATACCTTTCCTGATTTTAAACCATGAAGCCCTTGTTCAGTTGAATGACTGTCTCTTGGTCTATGCACAGCTTCCACAAGTGTACAATTAAGATTTCTGGGATTCCCACTGTTGGCAATGTTATCTATAGTTCCTTATGATCCACACAATAGACTGCCTTTGCATACTCAATAAAACACAAGTAAAAATCTTTCTGGTATTCTCTGCTTTCAGACAAGATCCAGCAGATGCTAACAATTATATCCCTCATCTTACATCCTTTTCTGAATCCTGCTAGAATTTCTAGTAGCTCCCTATCAATGCACTGCTGAAACCATTTTTGAAATATATTCAGCACATTTTTACTTGTGTATGATATTGATGATTGTTGAATAATTTGTTGGATTTTTGAATATTGATATTGTTGGATAATTTCCACATTCTGTAGGGTCACCTTCCTTGGATAAGCACAAATATTGATTTCTCTCAGCTGGTGACCAGGTAGTTATCGTCCAAATTTCTTGGTATAAATGAATACCTCCAGCTTTGTGTCAGGCTGTTGAAACACTTCTATAAGTATTCAATACATTCCTGGATCCTTGTTTCTGCCAATGCCTTTGGTGCAGCTTAGACTTCTTTTATCAGAACGCTTTGTTCCTGATCATATATTACCTCTTAAAATAATTGAGCATCTATGAATTCTTTTTGGTACAGCTGCTCAGTATATGCATTTCCTTTGGATGTTACTACATTGGTTAATATTTTGCACACTAGAATCCTTCAATATTTAAACTTGAGATTTGAACCTTTTCATCAGTTCCTTTAGCTTGAGAAATGCTGAGTGTAATCTTTCATTTTTATTTTCTAATGCCAGGTCTTCACACATTTTGTTTTAATATTTTATCTTATCTTCTTGAGCTATTGTTTTAATTTTTCTATTCAAGTCTTTATCATTTCTTCTTTACACTTTAGCTAACCTATGTTTAAGAATGCTTAGGATAAGTTGTAGGATAAGCACTAAACTGCTATCCACAGAGTTGGCAGTACAAACTCAGCAGTGACTCCTCAGTAACCCAATTCAGAATTGTTATAAGTTGGAATCCTCTCAATGGCACTTAACAACA